CAAGCTTTTAGTGGATACACGTGCAGGAGAAGGTAGGGTGGGCCTCACCGCAATTGAGGCAGCAAGCCTGGGGAGATAAGCAATCTGTCTTGGAGTGGCTATCATCCCCACACATGGGACATACACACACAAGACAAGAGCAATTGAGGGCACCATGCCAGAACTTCCAGCACTTATTACAAAGTCTAGGAGAGAGGGATGTAGTTCTGAACGGAGCACCTGGCACCAGCAAGAATGATGAACGGTGGAAGGGACCTACTATTGAAGGCGATTTTCACAACTCGAAGGGGCTGATGGCGGTGACCATGATGGGGTCGAGTAAACATGTCCACCTGGAGGAAAGGATGGCCTTGGGCTTTGAGGATATGTTTAATATCCTCATGGCAGTCTTTTAGGTCCCTAACACCAGTTGAAACATGGTGCAAGAGGAGAACAGTGCCAACATTGGCATTTAACCGAGCACTTGGAGACTCAAACAGGGGCAATGCAGGACAATGTGGCTAAGCGTGCAGCTGCTTCCGGTGAAGGAGCAGCGATGACATGTGTACCTAAACGGGTGGGGTTAAAAGTAACAGAGGCATCCACCGAATCAACAAAGTGTTTATGGAATGCGAAATCGGCAGGTGGTGTAGAATCCAAAGGAAGGAGATCAAAGTATTTAGCCCACAAAGCAGGACCAAACAAAGCTTGGTACATATTAGTATGGGATGGGATCGTGGGAGTGCGGCCGTGGCGGGAAAGACATTGTGAACCCCCAAGAGAAAGGGGATAAAATGTGCAGTAGTCACAATGAGAGATTGAGCTGTGCCATGGGACGAGGTGGTTACCATTGGGGGTCTGTGGCTCGACCCAACCACAGAGGAGGGAGGGGAGCCAGGGGGAGTAGTCAGGAGGGTCAAAGGAGGAACTAGGTCTGGCCCCAATGTAGCGGGGGCTACAAAGCCCGGTCTTCCATCTCAGTCCGACTCAGTGGCTTGGTCGCCCAAACCACGTGCCTGAGAAGTCATAAGAGGAACAGTATTCAGAGACATGAAAACGAGAGGTAATACTTTCATTCACGAATGTGTCCCCTCACCCACCACGGGGCCGCAACTAGATAGGACACCCAACAAGAGACATGTTGCTGGTCTGGCCAGGGCCTCCTAGGGGTGCGTAGTGAGTACAAGCCCCCACAATCCACCTTAAGAACCGTCAGTCTGTCAAGATCGGGTTCAGCGACGAAAGGAGGATTGACAATTAAAGCGTCTCCTTGCTCGAGACATTGGGTACTACAGTTCTACAGTTGAGAGGTATGTATCCCCAAACATCCGGACATCAAAACAGAAGTAGTCTGAAAGAATGATCAAGATTGGCGAAAGGTCGGAGGGATATGACAATTAGAAAGGAGAAGGGGAGGAGGGGGGGAGGAAAGAAATATGAAACACAAAGAAAAGGAAAAGACATATGGCAAAATTGGTAATGACAGCAGCAGGAGCACCAGGCCTCAAAAGGACAGAGGACTGACCCATGAAGCATCACACACTGGCAGTTGCCCACCAAGCCCCCTGACGACGACAATGGGCCAGATAGGGAGGGGGCACGTTAGTTCAAGCTCGTCACGCAACAGATAATCAGAATACTGGGAAGATGGGCGTGATAGTGGAGGTGCGCCCATCAGGAAGATGGGGCGACACCCAGACACGCTCATTAGGACTGGTGTAGTCCCTGCTAGAATCCCTGCTCTGGGGCGACACCCAGACACACTCATTAGGACTGGTGTAGTCCCTGCTCTAGACTGTGTCCGTGTTGTTGGACATTGTGAGGATACAGTCGTCCTGACCTCTCTCACACCATGGTAAAGAGGGGGGGGGGGGGTCCATCAGTTTATCAAGGCTCAAACTTCCTTAGCTAAACTTTGTTGTTCAGTCCATGAGCCCATTGTCTCCAATATTCTCCACTACCGCCTCAGGATGGGTATGGGGGATGTCCACTATCCCCCACAGGGTAGGTATGGGCCGGTCCAATACTGCCTTCAGGACAGGAATGGGGGCCCACTACAGCTCACAAGGTAGGTAAAGGGAATCCACTACGACGTACAGGATTGGTGTGGGGGATGTCCACTACCGCCCACAGGATATGTAGGGGGGGACCACTACCACCCACAAAATAGGTATAGGGGGAGGGTCCACTACCGCCCACAGGATGGACATGGGGGGGGGTCCACTACCGCCCACAAGATATGTAGGGGGGGGGGGGGACCACTACCACCCACAAAATAGGTATAGGGGGAGGGTCCACTACCGCCCACAGGATGGACATGGGGGGGGGGACCAGTACCGCCCACAAGATATGTAGGGGGGGGGGACCACTACCACCCACAAAATAGGTATAGGGGGAGGGTCCACTACCGCCCACAGGATGGACATGGGGGGGGGTCCACTACCGCCCACAAGATATGTAGGGGGGGGGGACCACTACCACCCACAAAATAGGTATAGGGGGAGGGTCCACTACCGCCCACAGGATGGACATGGAGGGGAGTCCACTACCGCCCACAGGATGGACACGGGGGGGTCCACTACCGCCCACAGGATGGACACGGGGGGGTCCACTACCGCCCACAGGATGGACACGGGGGGGTCCACTACCGCCCACAGGATGGACACGGGGGGGTCCACTACCGCCCACAGGATGGACACGGGGGGGTCCACTACCGCCCACAGGATGGACACGGGGGGGGGGGTCCACTACCGCCCACAGGATGGACACGGGGGGGGGTCCACTACCGCCCACAGGATGGACACGGGGGGGGGGGGTCCACTACCACCCACAGGATGGACACGGGGGGGGGGGGGGCAAACTACCGCCCACAGGATGGACACGGGGGGGGGGGGTCCACTACCGCCCACAGGATGGACACGGGGGGGGGGTCCACTACCGCCCACAGGATGGACACGGGGGGGTCCACTACCGCCCACAGGATGGACACGGGGGGGTCCACTACCGCCCACAGGATGGACACAGGGGGGGTCCACTACCGCCCACAGGATGGACACGGGGGGTCCACGACCGCCCACAGGATGGCCACGGGGGTCCACGACCGCCCACAGGACGGACACGGGGGGGGTCCACTACCGCCCACAGGATGGACACGGGGGGGGGGGTCCACTACCGCCCACAGGATGGACACGGGGGGGGTCCACTACCGCCCACAGGATGGACACGGGGGGGGTCCACTACCGCCCACAGGATGGACACGGGGGGGGGGGGTCCACTACCGCCCACAGGATGGACACGGGGGGGGGGGGGTCCACTACCGCCCACAGGATGGCCACGGGGGTCCACGACCGCCCACAGGATGGCCACGGGGGTCCACGACCGCCCACAGGATGGCCACGGGGGTCCACAGGATGGCCACGGGGGTCCACGACCGCCCACAGGATGGCCACGGGGGTCAACGACCGCCCACAGGATGGCCACGGGGGTCCACGACCGCCCACAGGATGGCCACGGGGGTCCACGACCGCCCACAGGATGGCCACGGGGGTCCACGACCGCCCACAGGATGGCCACGGGGGTCCACGACCGCCCACAGGATGGCCACGGGGGTCCACGACCGCCCACAGGATGGCCACGGGGGTCCACGACCGCCCACAGGATGGCCACGGGGGTCCACGACCGCCCACAGGATGGCCACGGGGGTCCACGACCGCCCACAGGATGGCCACGGGGGTCCACGACCGCCCACAGGATGGCCACGGGGGTCCACGACCGCCCACAGGATGGCCACGGGGGTCCACGACCGCCCACAGGATGGCCACGGGGGTCCACGACCGCCCACAGGATGGCCACGGGGGTCCACGACCGCCCACAGGATGGCCACGGGGGTCCACGACCGCCCACAGGATGGCCACGGGGGTCCACGACCGCCCACAGGATGGCCACGGGGGTCCACGACCGCCCACAGGATGGCCACGGGGGTCCACTACCGCCCACAGGATGGCCACGGGGGTCCACGACCGCCCACAGGATGGCCACGGGGGTCAACGACCGCCCACAGGATGGCCACGGAGGTCCACGACCGCCCACAGGATGGCCACGGGGGTCAACGACCGCCCACAGGATGGCCACGGGGGTCAACGACCGCCCACAGGATGGCCAAGGGGGTCAACGACCGCCCACAGGATGGCCAAGGGGGTCAACGACCGCCCACAGGATGGCCACGGGGGTCCACGACCGCCCACAGGATGGCCACGTGGGTCCACGACCGCCCACAGGATGGCCAAGGGGGTCCACTACCGCCCACAGGATGGCCAAGGGGGTCCACTACCGCCCACAGGATGACCAAGGGGGTCCACTACCGCCCACAGGATGGCCAAGGGGTCCACTACCGCCCACAGGATGGCCAAGGGGGTCCACTACCGCCCACAGGATGACCAAGGGGGTCCACTACCGCCCACAGGATGACCAAGGGGGTCCACTACCGCCCACAGGATGACCAAGGGGGTCCACTACCGCCCACAGGATGACCAAGGGGGTCCACTACCGCCCACAGGATGACCAAGGGGGTCCACTACCGCCCACAGGATGACCAAGGGGGTCCACTACCGCCCACAGGATGACCAAGGGGGTCCACTACCGCCCACAGGATGACCAAGGGGGTCCACTACCGCCCACAGGATGACCAAGGGGGTCCACTACCGCCCACAGGATGACCAAGGGGGTCCACTACCGCCCACAGGATGACCAAGGGGGTCCACTATCACCACAGGATTGGCCATGGGGGTCGACTGTTGCCCAATGGATGACCAAGGGGGTCCACTACCACCCATAAGATGGCCATGAGGGTTCACTATCGGCCACAGGATGCCCATAGGGGCTCACTATCGCCCACAGGATGCCCATAGGGGCTCACTATCGCCCACAGGATGGATACATGGGGGGTCCACTACCGTTCACACAATGGGTACTTGGGCGTGGTATTATGAACGAGAGTTAGTCCTGGCCGTCTGGACACCAACCTCGGCATCTGGGATTCTTTGGTGATGACTTCGTAGTGGTGTTTGCCCTCCCTGGCGATGGCCTCCATGGCGTCACTGGCTGGAAGTGGCGGTGCTCTCCTCGACGTCACTGCCACCACCACCACACCAGCCAGCACCACCACCACACCAGCCAGCACCACAGCCGCCACAACCCGCCTCAGCAACTCCATCTTCATTGAGCCTCAACAGCCGATGTCAATTCTCAACGTTGAAAACTTTTGTTCAGAATCTGAAATGAGATTTTTGAGTGTCGTGATTTACAAGTGACTAATATACTTTATTCATTTTAATCACAGATTTACTGTAAATCATTTACAGAGTTTAAATAATTTACAGTGCAGTAAATCATTTATATTGATTTACTGCGCTCTGCATTAGACAAAAACGCCCACTGAAGATCATTGTTAAGGTATCGACAACCGAACTAGACAACTAGGATGTTAAGTAGCCCGTCCTTGCATACAAAGATCCAAGCTCGTGAATCCAGCTGCCAAACCCCGTTTATGAATGAAAAATAGTTTACACAATTCTACTGATGACATCCGAACACTTCCGAAACAAGTGCTTCACTCCACTGAGCAACAATTCAATAAATGCTTCTCCCAGGTACTTCATATACAACAGAATCAACACCTAACCTGTTGGTCTGGATCACAAACAGAATCTAAACACCTCATCTAAGCTTAACTAGAAATAAGTAATTATGAACAACAGGCACCAAGCCAGGGAGGCTATGTAGCACCATCAAAAGTGTGAGATATTCAAAAGGCGCTAAAGATCACTAAGGATGCAAATACGAGAACAAAAGGCGCTAAAGATCACTAAGGATGCAAATACGAGAACAAAAGGCGCTAAAGATCACTAAGGATGCAAATACGAGAACAAAAGCACCTAAAGCAAACATAAAAAGCATCTAATTCACCAAGGATACTATCGAGGGACAGGTGACCGTGATGGACAGTCAGAAAGCAAGATGCACGCACTTCCTGGAAGTCAGGACATTCAACAAGGATATGCACGACCGTAAGAGGGGCATTGCAGTTCAGACAATAAGGAGCAGGGCAGCGCTCCATTAAGTGTCCGTGAGTTAAGCGTGTATGGCCAATATTTAAACTAGCCAGAGCCGTATCCTTCCGACGGTTAAGTGATAGGAGGAAGGCCATGGGGACACTACCTTTTTAAAGCACGCAGCTTCTTACCAATAACAGAAGACCAGCGATCAGGCCAACTGGCATCGATCAAGGAATGAATAACAGGGTAGAAGTCGAAATAAGGAACACCTTTGCGGGAAATGGGAGAAGTGTGGATAGTCTCCTTCCCGGCAGCGTTCGCATGCTTATTTAAGTTAAAACCAATATGGCTTGATAACCCAGAAAAACTCCACTGTCTTAAATCTGCTGGCGTTTAGAAACAACCACTATTGAATTTCGGACAGAATTAAAGTAGTCCAGAGCCATGAGAGGACTGCGTGAGTCAACTACAACAACAACGGAAGAATTACAGTGAGGAAGCAGGTGATGAGGAGCAAACAAAATTGCATAAAGTTCAGCTGTGTCAGCTAGTCACCGGAGGCAGGCGACACATGTAGGTGCAGTCAAGAAACACGGTGGAGTAGCCTACACCATCTGCAGACTTGAACCCATCTGTGAAGACTGAGATGGAGCGGATGTGTGAAGAAAAGTGAGCAAGGAAAAAGCTTTTCAGACATGTAGGAGGGGTAAAAGCCTTAATAATGCAGGTCAAGGTTCTACAAAACTGTGGAAGAAGGACCCTCCATGGTGGCAGGGACAGAATGACACGAGGACAAACATTGGCAACACAAACTGAGAACCTTGGAGGCGAGACAACAGGACAGAAAGAATAGGTGGTGAAAAGGAAGGTGACCCACAGGATGGGTAATGGTCAAAGTACGACATAAGCGAGAGTGTTGTAGGGACCGTTGAAAGTAGCAAAGACAGTAGCCATCACGGCGATCCTATAAGAGACAGGATGCCGGTTTAAACAGACAAGCTCTGGGTAGGGGTCGAACGAAAGGTACCAGAGCTAAGGCAGAGCCCAGTATTGTGAAAAGCATCAAGACAACGAAGGGTGGAGTGAGAGGCAGACGAGTAAGCAGGACAGCCTTAGTCGAGTTTAGACAGCACGAGAGAGGAATGTAAAGAGGAGAGCGTGCGCCTATCAGCTTCCCAGGAAGTATGGGAGAAGACCTTAAGCGACCAAGACAACGAGTGTCAAAATTTAACCCCACAAGTTTTAGCATAATCCTTATACAAAAGAGGATAACCATAAAGCGACAGAGGGGGTCGAAGAACGACCTGCTTCAGAAAAAGGGTCATAGCACAAGTCTTAGCTGGAGAGAACTTGAAGCCAAGATTGGTGGCCCAGGACGACACGGCATCAACCCCAAGTTGAAGTCGCCGCTGGAGGAAAGACGAGTTATCACCTTGACGGCTGAGGGCAAGATCGTCAACATAAAGAGCGGAGAAAATGTCAGAGGGAAGGGAGGAAAGAAGACCTTTGAGGTTAACAAGAGAAATAGTAGTGCTCAGAACACTACCTTGGGCCACACATTCGTATTGCGGAAAGGAGGCAGAGAGCGGTACCAAACCGTACTTAAAAGGAACTACAAAAGAGGAAGCTCTGCAAGAAAGGAGGGAGATCCCCACGAAGGCCAAAAGAACCGAGTCGGGACAGAATACGGTATCACCAGGTGGCCTGGTGATAGGCCTTTTCCAGGTCAAAAATGACAGCAACAACGGAGGTCTTTGCAGCCAAGACAGTACCAATATAGACCTCTAAGTTCACGCGGACATCAGTCGTGGTGCAACACTTGCGAAAGGCAAATGGAGAAAGGGAGAGATAGTGATAGAACTATCACTATTTCCAAGAACCACATCAGATGGACATTGACCATTTGCTCAAAGTTTGCAGACGCAACTGACGAGAGCAACGGGGAGAAAGCCTTCAGGGGATGACCCTAGAGAACCGGTTTTCTGAATAGGAAAAACTTTACTCAAGCCAGTTCTCAGGGACTGATGACTCCCAGACATGGTTATAAAAACTCGATAAATACTGAAACGTGTATGGAGGGAGATGGCAAAGCATCTAATAATGAATATCTTCCGAGCCCGTCACCGTAGAACTGCAGAGAGCCAGAACAGACGAGTTCTGAGAGGGAAAAGATTATAGACAAGGTAAAGAGAAGTGCAAAAATCTAAGGGGAGAAGATTTAAGAAGGGGCTTGCGAGTGAGGAATGGAGGAGGAGGAAGAGAGCAAAAGCTAACAGTCGAAATTGAGAACCCTGTTCGTTCACGGCCGACACAGGATCCACCACAATAGAACCACGGAGGAGGACAGTCGAGGCATCTGAAAAAACTTGCTATCTTGCTGATTGTCTTCCAGATCAGGGAGAGAGAAGTGTAAGACGTAATTGTCTGACACGTTGACAATGGTCTGACGTAATGGCTGACAACACAGACGCCAGCGTCACCACACAGCAGTCCACACGGGAGGGGGTCTCTTGACACAGCAGTCCACACGGGAGAGGGGGGGGTCTCTCGACACAGCAGTCCACACGGGAAGGGGGGGGGGTCTCTCGACACAGCAGTCCACACGGGAGGGGGGGGGTCTTTCGACACAGCAGTCCACACGGGGGGGGGGGGGGGTCCCACGACACAGCAGTCCACACGGGAGAGGGGGGTGCCTCGACACAGCAGTCCACACGGGAGGGGGGTCTCTCGACACATCAGTCCACACGGGAGGGGGGTCTCTCGACACAGCAGTCCACACGGGAGGGGGGTCTCTCGACACAGCAGTCCACACGGGAGGGGGGGGGGGGTCCCTCGACAAAGCAGTCCACACAGAAGGGGGGGGGGTCCCTCGACACAGCAGTCCACACGGGAGGGGGGGGGGTCTCTCGACACAGCATTCCACACGGGAGGGGGGGGGGTCTCTCGACACAGCAGTCCACACGGGAGGGGGGGGGTCTCTCGACACAGCATTCCACACGGGAGGGGGTGGGGGGTCCCTCGACACAGCATTCCACACGGGAGGGGGGGGGGTCCCTCGACACAACATTCCACACGTGAGGGGGGGGGGTCTCTCGACACAGCATTCCACACGGGAGGGGGGGGTCTCTCGACACAGCATTCCACACGGGAGGGGGGGGGTCTCTCGACACAGCAGTCCACGCGGGAGGGGGGTCTCTCGACACAGCAGTCCACACGGGAGGGGGGGGGGGTCCCTCGACACAGCAGTCCACACAGGAGGGGGGGTCTCTCGACACAGCAGTCAACACGGGAGGGGGGTCTCTCGACACAGCATTCCACACGGGAGGGGGGGGGGTCTCTCGACACAGCAGGCCACACGGGAGGGGGAGTCTCTCGACACAGCAGTCCACACGGGAGGGGGGTCTCTCGACACAGCAGTCCACACGGGAGGGGGGGGTCTCTCGACACAGCAGTCCACACGGGAGGGGGGGGGGTCTCTCGACACAGCAGTCCACACGGGAGGGGGGGGTCTCTCGACACAGCCTTCCACACGGGAGGGGGGTGTCCCTCGACACAGCATTCCACACGGGAGGGGGGGGGGTCTCTCGACACAGCAGTCCACGCGGGAGGGGGGGGGGTCTCTCGACACAGCAGTCCACGCGGGAGGGGGGTCTCGACACAGCAGTCCACACGGGAGGGGGGGGGTCTCTCGACACAGCCGTCCACATGTGAGGGGGGGGTCCCTCGACACAGCATTCCACACGGGGGGGGGGTCTCTCGACACAGCAGTCCACACAGGAGGGGGGGGGTCTCTCGACACAGTCCACACGGGAGGGGGGGTCTCGACACAGCAGTCTACACGGGAGGGGGGTCTCGACACAGCAGTCCACACGGGAGGGGGGGTCTCGACACAGCAGTCCACACGGGAGGGGGAGTCTCTCGACACAGCAGTCCACACGGGAGGGGGGGTCTCGACACAGCAGTCCACATGGGAGGGGGGTCTCTCGACACAGCAGTCCACACTGGAGGGGGGTCTCTCGACACAGCAGTCCACACGGGAGGGGGGGGGTCTCGACACAGCAGTCCATACGGGAGGGGGGTGGTCTCTCGACACAGCAGTCCACACGGGAGTGGGGGGGGGTCTCTCGACACAGCAGTCCACACGAGAGGGGGTCTCTCGACACAGCAGTCCACACGGGAGGGGGGGGTCTCTCGACACAGCAGTCCACACGGGAGGGG